AAAGCGCTCTGTCAAGCTGCCTGGGGCCATGGGGGTGGCCTGGCTCCCCAGACTGCCATTTGGGGAAGGAAAGACCTTGGAGGCAGTTGAGCACTTCCCCTACCTCAGCAGCCACATCTCTCAGAGAGTGAACACTGATGAGGAGATCCAGCACAGGAGCCAGTGCACAAGTGCCTCCTTTGGGAAACTGTTTCAGCCTGTCTTTATCGATCACGATCTCCAGAAAGACACGAAGATCCATGTCTACAATTCAATCATCATCCCCACACTCCACAATGGATGTGAAACATGGGTGACCTACCATCATCATCTCAAGAGCCTGGAGAGGTATCCCCAACAACGCCACTCGAAAAGCCTCTGCACCCAATGGGAAGATCACTGCACAAACACCAGCACCCTTGCTGAAGCCAATGTTACCAGCATGGAGTCTGCGATCCTAAAGCTCCAATTTTGCTGGACCAGGCATTGCGTGTGGGTGCCCAACTCTTGACTCCCAAAACAAGTGCTCTGCTCCCAGCTAAGTAACAGCCCAAGATCTCATGGCAGGCAGAGGAAACACTACAAAGACATGTTGGAGGCTGAGCTCAGGGAAACAGGTGCCAGCATCAAGAGCTTGCTCCCGACCAAGTTCAATAGCACTGAAACCTCAACCACGCAACAGACCATTTCAAGGTAAAGTGTTTTGCCCTTTAAGCAAAGAGAGTGGAAGAAGGAAAAAGGGAAGAATCCTGGCCTTTGGCCTACTCTCCCCTCCAGAATTACTGATCTGTGGGGCTCAAGGATTGGACTCTTAAGTCATCTCAAGACCCATCAAAGAGCTGTGGTAGAGATCATCCTTGCATCAAGGCGTTGCTAACACTGGCTCTGTCCAGGACAGGCCTGAGACCAAGGCGCTTCTGGGAACCAGGACATACCTGGAGTAAGAGCCTTCCCATGGCACCTACGCAGAACCTGCTCTCAGGGTCCTTTCCTGAGGGGGAATCTGCCCTGTCCAACAGGCTTCTTTCCTTTTGGAGGTCCTGGAGGAAGGATGGAAGAGGCGGAAGAGTCTCCACAGACGGTGGCCAAGGCCCACTGAGCATAAGTGATCCTGCGTCAGAAACTGCAGAGGGGAATGGGGACTAGGTCTGGGGGAGGTGGCCTTGCCGAGAGGCGGAGAACTGTGAGGAGCAGCGAAGAGCCCTGCCCCTCCACTGAGGGCAGAAGCCAGCTAGAGGCCAGCTCAGGAGGGGCTGATGCTGCCTCTGGGACGGCATCCCATGCCGCAGTCAGGCGCAGCCTGCCTCCAAAGCTCGAATCAAGGCTCCTCTGGACTGAGGGAGAGCTGATGCCAGGGAGCAGGTGGTGGACCTGGTCATCTCCAAGGCTTTTCCAGGTTTCTGATGCCTTTCAGCAGGGGTGGAACAAGAGCTTCTCAGACCCTTGTATCTCCCAAGAGTCACTGCTGGAGAACCCCTCCTGCAGCCATGCTTGCACTGGTGACCAAAGCATTGCAGAGTGGTCTGAGCGCACCTAGCAAGCAGCTGCCAGCATCCCGTCAGCTCCTTGCCCCTCTGGCAGGGACTCCAAGATGAAGCTCAAAGGACCCCCTGGACCACAGCTGTACCAGAGCACGGTAGATTCCTGCCAAAGGCACTAGCTGGCCTCCTGCATGTCAGAAGGGACGGCGCAGGATGCTGCATTGCCTGTGATGTTTCCCCTCGCTGCCAGTGCCACCAAGCAGTGGCACAGATGGGACAGGATACCACCTGTCTGCCCTGGCGTAAGTAGGCCGATGCACTGAGATGGCTGGGCAAGCTGAGCTGGTAAGTAAGGCTGCTCTATACAAGCATGCAGCACTTCCACGGTCTTGCACAGACAGGTGTGTGGGCTGAAAACACTGCTGGGACTGTTGGCTACTCAGTAGTGACCGGTGGAGGTGAGCAGGGGTGCGAGTGCCCCAGGGGGTCCCACCCCTCACTATCTGCTGCCACTGCCTTGGTCCAGATCCTCAAGGCAATGAAGGATCAGGTCTCAGCTACCTCAGGGAATGCATCTCCATCTACCCCGCCTCGGAGAACCGTGCTCCTCTGGGACAACGAGCATCGCAGCCCAGGGTGAAGCAAGAGCAGGGACAAGGCACGTGCAGCTGGGGGATGCGGCAATTGGGTGGATCCAAAGACCGAGCCCCTGCAGGAAAGGCTGTGAAACTCTCCTACCAGTCAGAGCTTTTCCACCACCACCGGATGTAGAGGATCCCCAGGATCCACTACCTGTCTGCTCTGACCCTCAAGAGACCTTGCTCCACACAGACCTCTCTGTAATGCTGACAGGAGAGCCAGAGATGCCCCAACAGGCACCGCAATCTGCTCTATGTGGCAAACTGCTGATCGCAATACAAGCCCCAGGACAGACAGCCAGGCCAAAGCCTGCTCGAGACGAGGCTGAGAGGTGCTTTCTTGTACAAGAACCTGCAGCTGCATCTCCCTCCTACAGACGAGCTGTTCCCCTAGTGCCGCGTCCCATGTCCCCTGCAGTAACATACAGAGACCAATCAACCTGAAGTGGCATTGACTCCAGAGAGCACGGCCCCCTCCGAGCCAGGTCCTGCCTTGCGATGGAGGCAGAAGCAGAGGCCAGAACCAGGTCTAGTCGGACACCACAGGTGCTGGGGAGCGCACTGCCTGAGGACAGAAGCGGCACAGGGCGAAGGCAAAAGCAGCAACAGAAACAGGCAGATGGGGCTACGAGGAAGCAGGGAGGGCTGAGGGCACCAGAGACAGGAGCGTCCCTGTGCTCCAGGGGGATGGGAGCGGAAGCTCCGTCTAGGGTGGTTTGGGGCATCTCCGGCAGGGCTGGCAGCCTGGGCGGAGATGCTGTCAAGGGCAGAATGTGGGTGTGAAACAGCTCTCACCACTTTCTCCATTTCTTCTCTCTCCCACTGAGTCGCCTCCCTCACCATCTCCATCTCCTGGAACAGAGGAGAAGGTCAGTGCCGTGTCCTGGAGGAGGCCGAAGAGCCACCTCTCTGAGGGAGGCACTAGCCTAGGGAACAGCAGGCACAGGGAGCTAGTGGGGAGAATGGAGTTTGCTACTGGGGAACCGGCCTGCCCCCAGTGCAGGCGCCTCAGGCCGAGGCAGACGCTGCATGTTTTGGAGGCTGTGGTACCCTGTACTGCTCCCCAGGCTGAGGAAAAAACCCACCTTCTGCAGGATTTCCAGCTCCTCGGGGCTCAGGTCACGGTCAATGGAGGAGATGCTCTCTAAGCTGTTCTTGCGCCCGATCCCGGCAGCAAAGGGGTTGGCAATGATTCCCGGAGACATCTGCCAAGGGAAAGGGTGCAGCATGGTGAGAACAGGCAGTGTCCTTCACTGCCAAGGTCCCATTTTGGGGGCGCCCCCACGTGCTTGCCAGGGTCCTGGGGCACAGTCACCCCCTGGAAACCCTCTGCCTCCCGCCAAGGACGCAGGAAGCGCTAATGCCCTGGACAGGCCCTCCCCTGGGAGACTGCATGCAGCTCTGGGCACCGGAGTTCAAGGAACGTGAATGCAGGCTGGAGCAGAAAAGGGCTCCTGGGATAACCAGGGGATTGGAGCACCTGTCTCAGGATGAGACCACAGGCTGGTCTACGGAACAGGCCTCTGCTGGCAGACGCAGCTTCCAGGGGAAGCAGCCAGAGCACATCCATGCCCCCATGGCACCAGCTGTGCTAGCAGAGCATGCAGGGAGACACCGGCTATCACAGAGGCTGAGGCAGCTGGCAGAAAGCACAGGCACAGCCACAGCCATGTGCACTTTCTGCACAGCTAGGTGGTGGCAGGAGCCCAGTCACTCAGAGGGAAGGGTCCCGCACTCACAGGAGGCCGCAAACATGATGTGCTCGCAGTCCTGCTACTGGAACAGCAGTGTGCACCGTGCCTGTGACCACTTGTGGGAAATGGGGGCTGGAGGGGCAGGACAACACCAGGGAGGCACCAGGCGGGGAGAGTGCCACTGAAGAGAAAGGAGGGTGCTGGCACCAGAGCACCTAGGTGTCAACTGGGTGGAAACACATTTGGACTGGAAAACTGGAAAACCAATGGCAGGTCAAACCACTGGGGCAGGGAGGGTCCAGAGTAGCTGGCACAAACCGTCCACACTGGTCAAAGATAGTATCATAGTTGTTAGGGTCAGAAGGGACCTGAGCAGATCATCAAGTCCAACCCCCAAAATCAGATGTTATTACCTGAACAGGGACTTGAGCCCGGGACCCTCAGATTAAGAGTCTGATGGTCTACCAACTGAGCTACCCAGGCTCAGATAATGGCACTGATGGGCTCTGGTTAGTTATTGAAAGCCTCTACGACTGGTGCCAGCAGCAGGGGCATGATCACAGACCTCTTCCTGGCCTATGCTTCCCCCGTGCCAAGGGCACCAGCCCACAGAGACTCCACCGCTCTCCTGGGCAGCACAGGCACATCCAGAACAAGAAGTGACCTCCCAGCCCTCTGGGACAGGGCCAGCCCAACAGAGGCAGGGGTCACACTGGCTCCGCGGGGCAGCCCATCCACCCTGGGCACTGGAGCTGCAGACCCTGGAGTGCGACTTCTAGACTCTTGCGCTGAGGACCTCCCAGCCACATGCTGGGATCTCTCTCCTGGAGTGCCACGCCTGGCAGCCAGGGCTCTGTTCACCACGGTTGTTGCTCCTTCTGTTTTGAGGCACAAATACCTGAGAGCTTTCCCCAAGACTGCTGGGGAAAGACCTGAAGGGCTGCCATGAAGAAGAGGGGAACCTCTTTTTTCCCTTGCTGCTCAAGGCAGAACCTAAAGCAATGGCTTGAAAGCAAGCAAGCAAAATGCTGGCTTGCATCCATACATGCTTCTCAAGCAAATCCCAGGACGTCATTCTCCCATTGTACTCATCCTTGGCGAGGCCACAGCTGGAGTACTGTGTCCAGTTTTGGACCCCACAATTCAAAAAGGATGTGGAGGAGCTTGATACAGTGCAGAGAAGAGCCACGTGCATGATCAGAGGGCAGGAGAACAGACCTTATGATGAGAGGCTGAGAGCCCTGGGACTCTTCAGCCTGGAAAAGCGCAGGCTCGGGGGTGATCTGGTGGCCACCTATAAGTTTATCGGGGTGCTCACCAGGATCTGGGGGAACGTCTGTTCACCAGAGTGCCCCAAGGGATGACACACACTCCTCCAGGACCGTTTCAGCCTGGACATAAGGAAGAATTTCTTTACTGTCTGACCCCCAAGGTTTGGCATAGACTGCCGCCGGAGGTGGTTCCAGCACCTACTCTGAATGCCTTCAAGAGACATCTGGATGTTTATCTTGCTGGGATGCTATGATCCCAGCTGACTTCCTGCCTATGGCCGGGGGGCTGGACTCAATGATCTTCTGAGGCCCCTTCCAGCCCTAATGTCTATGAATCTATGAAACTGCGGCGAAATAGATTTAGATGAAGTCTCAGGAAGAACTTCCTTGCTGCCAGGGCAGGGAGGCAGGGGCAGGGGTATGGCTGGCCCGGAGCAGCAGGGACATCTCGCTCACTGGGGGTTTCCAGAGGAGGCTGGATCAGCCTTGGCCAGTGCTGGGTGAGGAACAGCATCCTGCCTCCGTGCAAGGGTTTAGACCAGATGGCCTGGCGGTCCCTGCCAGCTCTGTGAGTCTACGGGGTGTGAAGTGCCAGGCTGGGCCCCAGCTTCATGAAAGCCTCAGTGCTGTCAGAAATGTTTCAACTGCTCTCGCACTGAGCCTGGGCACTGGAGAGGAGAACAGGATGGCAGCAGCACCTGCACGGGGCCAGCGTCCTGTCAGCAGAGGCCTTTTGTCAACAATCACGCTCATGACAGCTGAAAGGTACAGTGGCCTGAGGGCCCTGGACTGGGACCCACGCTCCAGGTTCATCCCTTGGCCCTGCTACATTTTGTGAGTGACTGTGGAGGACAGCCCTTCTCCCTCTCTGTCCCTCAGCTCCTGCCAGCACTGTGGGGCTGCACACACCCACATGCATGCCTGGAGACTGTGGGGTAACCACGTGCCATCTGCAAGGGGCTGACGTGCTGTGGTGACCAACTGTCCAGTTATACAGATGCATGCACCTCAAGACTGGCAAGGCATGCGTCTGTATAACCAGAGAGTTTTACAGATGCGTGCCCTGCCCATCATTTCCAACACTTGGGAGCTGACTGACTCCTTGTTGGCATGCAAGCAGGGGGTGGTGGTATGGAGGCCGACTGGCCAGCACATCAGAGTCTGGCTGTCAGGTACTCACAACAGCATGGGCTAGACAAGACCCCCCAGATGCTGTGGCCTGTGAAGGGCAGTTGTTAGCACGGCTCATCCTGCCGGAACCTCCCCTGGCCTCCTGCGGAGTGGGCAGGATGATGCACCACCACGAGGCTGCATCCGTGGAAAAAGCAATGCCCCCTGAGGACGTATCAGATAGGACATTTCCCATAGAGGAGGCAGAGTGACCTGCCATTGTGCACGGTGGATAAGACCTCAGGGGAATCCAGTCACCCACCTCCAGAAGACATGATTCAAAGTGGAGTGTGTGCAGAGAAGGGCCAGCCCACGACTTTGTGCTTTGCAAGCAGCATCTAAACCACCTGCCTTGTGTCCTGGCAAACGAAGGCTGAAGAGGTCTAACCTGGGCGGGGGCTGGAGTGGAATCCACAACAGGAAGGAGAAGGGCCATCTCAGCCAAGGGCCAATGGTGGCACAGGACAAATGGGTGTAAGGTGCAACCAGCGAGCTCAAGATGGAAATGTGCAATAGGCTTCCAGCCCCCCAGAGCTGTGAAGGCAGCACCTTGTGCTCTTTGGACATGGAGTTGTAGGAGTTTATGAGCCAAGCCACAGGATGCAAGAACTGGCACTACACCTGGTGACCCAGGGGCCCTTCTCATCCTGCGTTCCCTTCTGCAGCCAGGGACTTCTGGAGCCCCACATCAAAGGCTGAAAAAGCAGGGAGCGCTTGCTCTGGGGAAGGCTTCCCAGATAGCCCGATCTCATGTCGTCTAGGCCTCTGGTCAGCCTAGCACATGGACACATCACTGTGCTGCAACCATGAGGGGCTGCACACATGCACGAAGCTGCCATTTAACATCAAGAGCCCTGTGGGATGCTTCTATCCCCGTCCCGACCCTGACTCTCACCTCAATGGCAGCTGCAGCTTTGGGGTCAAAGCCGTCGCACACCAGGACGAGGAGCGTGTCGCCCACGCTGCGTAGGATCTGCACGGCCTCTGTGTGCGTCATGCCCAGCAGGCTCTGGTGGTTCACCTCCAGGATCCGCATCCCCACCTTCAGCCGGCCGTCCCGGGCAGCTGCCCCTGAGGAGCTCACCTGCAAGGGGCCAGAGGCTGCCTCAGAGGGGCTGGGGCCCAAGGGCAGCGTGGACAAGGTGTGGGGGAGGAGAGGGTGGTGCCCCCTGTCAGGGGAGTGCCTGTGTGCTTGTGGCGGGGAAGAAAGAAGAAGGGGGCAGCCCAGGGGATCTGCTGTGAGGAGAAGGCAGACACACAGCTGTGACTGGTTGGGGAGGAGGAAAAAACCCACCGTGTGCCTGTGTGATGTGGTGGGAGGGGGCCTCAGGGGTATGGATGCTGCCTTCAGGGGAAGAGGAGTGCTAGTGCCCTGCTCTGGGAGGCAGGGAAGCCCTTTGGTTGTCTTCAGGGGCAGGAACATGAAGGCACATAGACACATGCAGAGCATAGACACACGTGAGATGCGCTGCTGGGGAGGGCTCCTGTGACTTCCACGGAGGAGGAAGGCCAAGGGCATGTGTGTGTGTGTCCTTGCCTGTCGGGGGCACAGGTGGCTGCTCATGGGGGAAGCAGGCATGTGACAATGGTCTGGCAGGGGTGGGGGAGGTGCAGCATGTACTGCAGGGGAAGGAAAGGAGCACGTGCATGCTGGAAGAACACGGGCAGGGACGCGTGCAAGAGGCATAGGCGAGGGCATGTTCCTATGCCCCCACCACGCGCTAGCTCTCGGGGGTGGGGGCAGGCATGCACATGCATGTTTCCCGGGGGGAAGGCAGATACAGGGTGGACAGTTCAGCACCTTGGAAATGAAGATGCCCTCGTCAGTTGGATCGAAGGGGTTCCCGGCATGGCCTTTTGCTCCCCCCCGTATGCTGATGCCCAGCTTCTCCCCAGGTGCCTTCTCAATGCAGATTTCCTGTGGACACAAAAGGTGTCTGCTTCCAAGTCGGTTTAGACCAGTGATTCTCAGCCGGACAGCCATGACCCCCTGGGGTGCCTTGATACCCTTTCAGGGGTCCTGTGCAATACCAGCAGTGCTAGGTGTGCAAACACGATTCACAAGACAAACCCAGAGATTTCAAACAGGAAGCCATGGGATTAAAGATCACCTGAACTGCTGTGGTCTTTCTGAGTTCTTTTCAACAGAAAAGATGTGTTATTATTTTTCTCTAGTCAAAAACTGAGTGAACACTAAAAGCTGACATTTTCTTAGGGCTTCCCTGAGTCTAACGAGGGGCTCCCTGAGGCTAACGGCTGGGAACCGCGGGTCTGGATTGATCTGGGGCTGCTGCTAGCAGACTCCCGCGGGGGCAGGGCAGTTGTCCAGGGACAGCACGCCTGGAAGGGATCGGGTCTGCGACTTTCCCCTGCTTTGGCTCAATTAGCTGCATTTGCTTTGGCTTTGCCCTTTTCTCCCTTTCCTGTATTTCTGTTCTGAGCAACAGGTCTAACTGACACAACCCTGCCCAGCCCTCAGCCACAGGGTGTCTCGTGTACAAGGATGAACCCCTGACAGCCTCCACTGGGATTCCCACCTGCTTTTCTGAGGCTACCTCTGCAGTAAGAGGAAGACGGGGAAAATTCAGGCTGCACCTCCAAGCCTGAGTTCCAGCTGAACTCAGAGGGAGGAGGAACCATCTGCCTGCGGAGACTCACCCAGAGGCAGGAATCGCAGGAGTCTCTATTGGAAATCCCCTCCCTTGGCAAAAAGGGGCAGGAGCTGTGTAAGCTGCTGGGGGTTTTAATACTAGTAAATGACCTGAATACAGGGGGGCGTGGGGAATCCTCTTACTCTGGTTTCCCCATCCCCAGCTGGTACAAGCCCTCTTGGCATGGCCCACACTGGTATCCATGACCTCTCCCCTGTGTTGCCCCCTGCCCTCCTCACTCGGTACCTACCTGCATGCCGGGGGGCGGAGGGTCTCGCCTCACTAGCATGGTTAGCTCCTGGCTGTTGGAGAGCAGAGCATTCACGGCCTCCTGGTGAGTCGCGTGCCGCAGGTCGATGCCATTCACCTCCAGGATCCTGTCCCCAACACGCAGCCCACTGCGAGATGCCAGCCCCCGGGAAATGACCTGCAGAGAGCCACAGCGGTTACAGTGAGAAAAGGCCTAGGAGGGGAGCAGATGTTTGCCTCCTGGCAGACACTGATGCCGGAAACCCACTCCATAGAGTCTGGCCCAACCAGTGGGCAGCGCTTGCTTAGTGAACCCCATGGACTCCCCCAGCTGTCATGTGACAATGGTCTGGCAGGGGTGGGGGAGGTGCAGCATGTACTGCAGGGGAAGGAAAGGAGCACGTGCATGCTGGAAGAACACGGGCAGGGACGCGTGCAAGAGGCATAGGCGAGGGCATGTTCCTATGCCCCCACCACGCGCTAGCTCTCGGGGGTGGGGGCAGGCATGCACATGCATGTTTCCCGGGGGGAAGGCAGATACAGGGTGGACAGTTCAGCACCTTGGAAATGAAGATGCCCTCGTCAGTTGGATCGAAGGGGTTCCCGGCATGGCCTTTTGCTCCCCCCCGTATGCTGATGCCCAGCTTCTCCCCAGGTGCCTTCTCAATGCAGATTTCCTGTGGACACAAAAGGTGTCTGCTTCCAAGTCGGTTTAGACCAGTGATTCTCAGCCGGACAGCCATGACCCCCTGGGGTGCCTTGATACCCTTTCAGGGGTCCTGTGCAATACCAGCAGTGCTAGGTGTGCAAACACGATTCACAAGACAAACCCAGAGATTTCAAACAGGAAGCCATGGGATTAAAGATCACCTGAACTGCTGTGGTCTTTCTGAGTTCTTTTCAACAGAAAAGATGTGTTATTATTTTTCTCTAGTCAAAAACTGAGTGAACACTAAAAGCTGACATTTTCTTAGGGCTTCCCTGAGTCTAACGAGGGGCTCCCTGAGGCTAACGGCTGGGAACCGCGGGTCTGGATTGATCTGGGGCTGCTGCTAGCAGACTCCCGCGGGGGCAGGGCAGTTGTCCAGGGACAGCACGCCTGGAAGGGATCGGGTCTGCGACTTTCCCCTGCTTTGGCTCAATTAGCTGCATTTGCTTTGGCTTTGCCCTTTTCTCCCTTTCCTGTATTTCTGTTCTGAGCAACAGGTCTAACTGACACAACCCTGCCCAGCCCTCAGCCACAGGGTGTCTCGTGTACAAGGATGAACCCCTGACAGCCTCCACTGGGATTCCCACCTGCTTTTCTGAGGCTACCTCTGCAGTAAGAGGAAGACGGGGAAAATTCAGGCTGCACCTCCAAGCCTGAGTTCCAGCTGAACTCAGAGGGAGGAGGAACCATCTGCCTGCGGAGACTCACCCAGAGGCAGGAATCGCAGGAGTCTCTATTGGAAATCCCCTCCCTTGGCAAAAAGGGGCAGGAGCTGTGTAAGCTGCTGGGGGTTTTAATACTAGTAAATGACCTGAATACAGGGGGGCGTGGGGAATCCTCTTACTCTGGTTTCCCCATCCCCAGCTGGTACAAGCCCTCTTGGCATGGCCCACACTGGTATCCATGACCTCTCCCCTGTGTTGCCCCCTGCCCTCCTCACTCGGTACCTACCTGCATGCCGGGGGGCGGAGGGTCTCGCCTCACTAGCATGGTTAGCTCCTGGCTGTTGGAGAGCAGAGCATTCACGGCCTCCTGGTGAGTCGCGTGCCGCAGGTCGATGCCATTCACCTCCAGGATCCTGTCCCCAACACGCAGCCCACTGCGAGATGCCAGCCCCCGGGAAATGACCTGCAGAGAGCCACAGCGGTTACAGTGAGAAAAGGCCTAGGAGGGGAGCAGATGTTTGCCTCCTGGCAGACACTGATGCCGGAAACCCACTCCATAGAGTCTGGCCCAACCAGTGGGCAGCGCTTGCTTAGTGAACCCCATGGACTCCCCCAGCTGCATCCTCAGCTGGCACCCAACACCGCCAGATGCCTCCATGACCCTCAGGGGGGCTCCGCCTGCTGCACCCACGACTGCCAGTGCAAGGGCCTGCATGGTGTCTGACGAAGCTGCTCAAGGAAACTCCCTGGGTATCCAGGCACTGGAACCAGAAATTCTCCCTGATACGTGATATAACGGGCAGTGCCGATACCTGGCAGGGCAATGCACAGGACTGGAGCGTTGCCACTTCTATTTAGGAAGGACAGAGGGAATAAGAGGTTGGCGGGTGGGGGGCATCTTCCAGCAGCGACGACAGCAATTGCTTAGATTTCCTGGCAAGTGGGAAGGGCAGGGTTTTGAACCGTATGGATGTGTGTGCTGGGAATGTCCAGGAGCAGCACCTGCTACCAACCACCGATCACCCAGCGGAGACGACAGAACGAGCGATTCCTGCCTATAACGCACGGGAAGGACCCCTGCACGGTTCTGGGGCTATGTCCGGGAGGTCTCCTGCAACCGGCAGAGAAACACCCGTGGAGTTTCCCGAACGGCAGTCCCAACTCTTCCAACACAGAAAACACTGTGTCTAACATGAGGTAACTCCATCTGGGACACACTGACTCATAAAGGTGCATTAATGCCAGACAAGAAGCTGGCTTGCTGCAACCAAGAAAGAAGACGACTCTGCCTAAAATCCCATGTGGTGCAATGACAAAGTGAAGACAATAATTAGAATCTAAAAAAGGAATTATAACGAACGAATGAGGATGACACAGAGAGCTATCAATACGCACTGGAACTTCTGAAGCGTAGACAGTTGATAAGGGAAGCTAAAGACATGGGAAAGACGCAGAGCTGGCACAGGTTAGAACAGGGAGAAGGAATTTTTGTAACGTGTTTGAAACAAAGGACAGGCAACCTCCGCATAGCCTTCTTAACTGGTTCCTGAAAAACCAAGCATTAAGTGAAACCAGCGTTCAGCGAAACCGAAAGTATTTGATGACCCAAGATGGCGACTGCGATTGTTTTTAATGACTCAAGATGGCGACCGTGAGCGTTATAAGTACGAAACTGGTTGAGCGCTAAGTGAAATCAAGTATCGATTTTAAATGAGCGTAATGGCGAAACAGCGCTAAGCGAAACAGCATTAAGCAGGGGTTGCCTGTAGATCCTAACCATGGTACATGTCCATCACCAGATGGAGATGATAACGTTGCTAAGAATAGCACAGAAAAAGGCAGAAGCGTTCTGTAATCATCTCTACTTGGCTATTGGAAAAAAGCAGGATGGTGCATCTTGTGAGGATGACAACACACTTTCCAGTCCATTAATAACTGACGATGATATCAGACAGCGTGCATAAGGGATGAACATTTTAAAACCAGGAGGCCTGGGTAGCTTTGAGTAGGCTCTAGAGACCTCTGGCAGCCTGATGGCCGTTTTTAATAAACCTTAGAATATCGGAGGACTTCCGGGGGCCTGGACGAGCGCACACGTTGTATCATCATTAAAAAAGGGCAAGTGGGACAACCCGGGTAACTGAACGCCTGCTGGCACGGCACCAGTCCTGGGCTAGATAATGGGCAAGCTGATATGGGGTCCTATTAATACAGAATGAAAGGTCAGGAGCATAACTGATGCCAGCCAACATGGCTTGAGGGGCTGCGGGGCTGGACGAGTTTGACTGATGAAGGTAAACGCAGAGACGCAATGGACTTTGGTTTGACTCAATTCCCACAACGTTACGATGGAAACATTGGCTGCACGTTGTTAATGTAGCACGTGTTAAATGAATGGAGACTTGGTTAAGTGACAGCTCTTCAACTGGTTCACGTGGATACCATCACCAGTACGGGGTGTTTTGAATGGGGTTTTGTGGGGGTCAGTACTAGACCTGACATTATTCAGTACTAAATACACGGTCTCTGCTGACAGTCTGCAGACACACAAAGACTGGCAGAGTGGTAAATGGTGGTTAGCACAGAGCAGGTACATCAAGCAAGCTGGACTGATTTGTGGCCTGGGCATATTCAGCAAGCGTGTTTTTATTCAGCGCTACACACTGAGGAACAAGTAAGGCCAACCAGACGCAGAGGCTCAGCAGGGACTCCAAAGAGGGATTGCGACTGCCAAGTGACAAAATGTGCTAGCTGTTTCGGCAGACAGAGCTTGTACAAACCTCGGGTACCAGCAGGGAGGAGGTGTTAGCTCTCTATGCAGCACTGATGAGACCGACACTGAAACACTGCTTCCCATTACGCATTTTAAAAAGTTTAGAAAAATTGGGGATAATGCAGAAAAAGCCAAAAAGAAAAAAAAAAAAGACTTGTGGACTGGAGACCATGTCTCATAGGGAGAGATGCAAAGAGCCAAGTGGGTTTAGCTTATCAAAAAGACTGACGAGAACTTGATTATGGTGCAAAATACAGTCTCCGAAGAACGATGGGGTCTCTGGGGAACTTTAGAATCTCTCTAGCAGAAAAAGACAAAAACCAATGGCTGGAAAATGTTCAGACTGACAACAAGGGAAACATTTCATTGGGGGAGGGGGTGACTAACCACTGGAACATCCTACCAAAGGAAGGAGTGGATTCTCTGTTTCTTGAGGCCCTTCTACAAGATATGCTTTACAGCAGTGCAAGTTGCTGGGCTCAATACAGGGTGAGTCAGTGACATGTAATGGTCTGTGATGTAAACAGGGTCAAACTGGATAATCTGATGGCTCTTTCTGGTCTTAAACACTATAAATAAATGTAAATGCCCGTCCTCTCCAACACCGCACGAATGAAGCAAATCTCATCTTGACAGACTGGATAAAGGAGAAGGGCTGAGCATAGGACCAGAAACCCCACCTTGTAAAACCACTACCTGCTACAGCACTGAGATGAGAGAACTAGCAAACAGCCTGGCAGGAGTGAGGACCTGAGTAATGGAAGAAAGGTGAGTAGGGATCAAAGGCACCTGGAAGTCATTATGCTAAAAGGGATCTCCTGACACCTGAACCGACACTGCTCCTGGGCTGCTGGAACATGAGAACAGTGTTTCAAACTGGCAAACTTGTGCAAGTCAACAAACAGGTGCAAAACTATAAATCAGTGGGAACCACTGAAACCAGGTGGGTGGGAACTGGAAGGATGGATGCAGAACAGGTAGAAGATGACACTAAAGAGGATTTCTACCAGACTCTGCAATCATCAGTAAATGAAATGCTGCCGCATCAACTTGTTATCACCCACCGGTTATTTGAATGGAAGACTGGGAAATGAGAATACAAGCCATGATAGGATCGTGGAACTGGCAGAAGAAAGAACAATGGAGAACGGCTACATGACGTGTGTGAAGCCAAAAAGTTTGTCACAGAGGTACCATCTGAGCAGGAGGGAAGACAAAGTGATGAGGATTTCACCAGACGGCACCACAGACGGTCAGCTAGATCACATCTTGATGTAAGAACAAAGTGACACACGCGTGCTTGTAGTGCCCAGATACGTTTGGTAAGAAAAATCAAGTTAAAGTGGTAGAAAGCAATCTAGAGAATCAAAATCAAGATGCTTTGTTTCAGCAAAGCTCAAAGATGCAACCATCACACAAATGTTCTATGCAGGCAGATTTAACACCGAATGAAGATGAATTTACTCAAAAAGGATAAAGAAGCATAGACACAGTGTTAGGAAAAATCAAGAAGAGACAATAAAGAACAGCACTGGACACAAGAAAAGGCAGCATTTGGAAAAGCTGAGGACTGCAGCAGAGAACGTCACCAGCAAAGCAGACATGTAAGGAGTTTGCCAGAGCACTAAAATACTTTGAGGAGACCAAACTTTCTAAACAATGATGCTCAGCTGAGAGATACGGCAACAAGATGAAGTGGCGAGAACACTTGGAAAACATCTTAGGTAGATCAGGATTCATCAGAAACTGCACACATCCAAGAAACCTATCAAGATCTGAACACATCTCTAGTGGAAATTACAGCAGAAGCATGGACAGCTACTGAATCTCTGAATGACAGGAAGGCAGTTGGGAAAGACATTTTGCCCAAAAATGCTAAAAGCGGATGTTGCAGAAATAACTTCAGCTACTTGGAAAATTCCAAAAAAGTTTGGCTCATGATTGCAGCAGGGTTGCAGTGCTGTTATAGCCATGATGGGCTAAGAAATAAAGAATATATATTTTTCTGCTGGTATCTTTTATTGGACCAACTGTTTAGTTGGGAGAGATGTTAGACAAGCTTTTGGGTACAAAGTGCTGATCTTCAGGTCTGGGAAAGAAGCAGACAAAGGAGGAGATGTAAGAGCAAATGAGGGTGCTTGTAGGAGCTGCCATAATGATTGGACTTTACATCCACTTTAAAGACAACTGAGTCTTAGGGTTTAAACACTGAAAGCAGAGATGCAATCATTATCAACCCTGAAGAAAAGGATGTTAAAGATGTTACATATCTGGGCAGTACAATGAGAGCAAATGGAGAAGCAAGAATGACACAGACATCAGAATTGGTAAAGCAAGTCAGACTTTTGTATCCCTGAAACATTGGGAAGATGTAATAGATACTGCAGAAGGCCAAAAAGTTCAAACATGCAACAGCCTGGTGAAAAGTGTCTAGCTTTACAAGCTGGAACGATGAAAGGGGAGGTCAAAGGCTGTGCATGAGTCAGAAATAGTTCAGAACAACTGCCTGCGGGGAAGGTGGTGAAGACTTCGCCTGAAAAAGTTACAAAGAAATTGCTAAAGAAGGATTCATTTTCGACCTGGAGGGATGTGGGCAGAGGGGTTCCCCAGGGCTTGGTCCTCGGGCCCGCACTGTTCAACATCTTCATCAGTGACTTGGACGAGGGAGTAAAAAGCACCCTGTTCAAATTCGCAGATGACACTAAGAAGTGGGGAGAAGTGGGCACGCTGGAGGATAGGGACAGGCTGCAATCGAACCTGGACAGGTTACAGGGGTGGGCGGATGAGAATAAGATGGGATTCAATACTGACAAGTGCAAGGTGCTGCACCTGGGGAGGAAGAGCCAGCAGCAGACCTACAGGCTGGGAACTCCCTTCTCATCAGCGCAGAGGCAGAAAAGGATCTTGGAGTCATTATTGATGCCATAATGAACACAGGCCGACAGTGTGGGGCCGCGGTCAGGAAGGCCAACCACACCTTGTCGTGCATCCACAGATGCATCTTGAGCAGGTCCAAGGAGGTGATCCTCCCCCTCTGTGCGGCACTGGTCAGGCCGCAGCTGGAGTACTGCGTCCAGTTCTGGGCACCGCACTTCAGGAGGGATGTGGCCAGCATGGAGAGGGTCCCGAGGAGGCCACCCGCATGGTCAGGGGGCAGCAGGGCAGGCCCTACAAGGAGAGGCTACGGGACCTGAACCTGTTCAGCTGAGAGGGACCTGGTGGCCCAAGATGAACATGAGTCGGCAGTGTGACGAAGCCATCAAAAAAGCCAATGGCACTTTATCGTGCATCAGCAGATGCATGACAAATAGGTCCAAGAAGGTGATACTTCCCCTCTATCGGGCGCTGGTCAGACCGCAGTTGGAGTACTGCGTGCAATTTTGGGCACCGCACCTCAAGAGGGATGCGGATAACCTGGAGAGGGTCCAGAGAAGGGCCACTCGTATGGTTAAGGGCCTGCAGACCAAGCCCTATGAGGAGAGACTAGAGAATGGACATTAGGAAGAACTTCTTCACAGTTCGAGTGGCCAAGGTCTGGAACGGGCTCCCAAGGGAGGTGGTGCTCTCCCCTACCCTGGGGGTCTTCAAGAGGAGGTTAGATGAGTATCTAGCTGGGGTCATCTAGCCCCAGCCCTCTTTCCTGCTTATGCAGGGGGTCGGACTCGATGATCTATTGAGGTCCCTTCCGACCCTAATCTATGAATCTACAAACTGGCCAAGGGGGCCAGCAGGCTACGGGGGAGTCCCTGTTCCCCCAAGCACTACTGGGAGTAACGAGGAATAACGGCCATAAGTTGACGGAGAGTAGGTTCAGACTAGACATCAGGAGGCGCTACTTCAGTCAGGGCGGCTAGGAGCTGGAACCAACTTCCAAGGGAAGTGGTGCTGGCTCCTACCCTGGGGGTCTTCAAAAGGAGGCTAGACAGCCTCCTAGCTGGGGTCGTTTGACCCCAGCGCTCTTTCCTGCCCATGGCAGGCGGTCGGACTTGATAATCTGCTCAGGTCCCTTCTGACCCTACCTACTATGAAACTATGAAGAAAGCTAGTGTAGGACCTAGGCTGCAAAAGTCAAAGATAGGCAAGGCCATGTCTGTAGAAGGAAAAACAATGCCACGACTGCATGCCCCCACTACAACAGGAAAAGGAAGAAAGGAGGAAGAAGTGAACGTGGAAGAGCCACAGGAAGGAAAACGAAACAGAACAGCTACAGATGGAGCTGACGGTGACGGCTGCCCTTATCCAGGCTGCAGGCGCTTCTGTGGCACGAGGTTTAGCACAAGGGAACATGCTCTCCACCCTCCTTGCCCTAGGGACCCCACAGCCCCGCACCCCACAAAGACACGCCACCACTGTATGCCAACAGGAGCCTCTACCTTTGAAATAAAGACACCTGGTTCATGGATCCCGAACGGGTGACTGGAGTGGTCGCTGCCCCCGACGATGCTGAGCCCCAGCGGGCCTCCTGCCTTGACCAGGTGGACCTCCTGCCGGGAGCAAACAGCACAGTCAGGGGAGCTGAGAGCCATCGAGCCAGACCAGACCAGAAAACGCAGAGCCTGGGAGCCTCCTTGGGGACGAGCGCACAGGCGGCAGGGAGACCCCAGTGCCTCCCCGAGCCCCGATGACACGGCGGGTCCTTGGAGGAGCATCCTGCCCCATGTAACACCACCCAGGGTCTCCACCCACCCAGGAGATGGGCCGCTCCGCAGCCCGGCAGCCAGGCTCACCTCGATGGGGTACTGGTCCTCCAGGCCCTTGGGCAGGTGGTTCCTTGGCAGCGGAGGCGTCTCCTCGGGGGGGCTGTCTCCCTGGCTGGGTGGCGGGGGCGGGGAGTGGGCACGCACCCGCGGCACCATGGGCGAGTCTCCCTCGCTGAGCTGCTCGGCACCCTCTCGCTCTACCAGCAGCACGATGGTGGGGGAGGATGCGGTAAGCAGCGCTACTGCCTGATCATGCCTGGCTTCTGTCATGTCTACCCCATTGATCTAGAATGACCCGCAAACCCAGCGTCAGCACAGAGCCCCAGCACGCCCGGCCCGGCCCGGCCCGGCCAGCTGAGCACAGCGCAGGAGCCAGCCTGCCAGGACCCCTCCCTCCGTCCTGAGCCGGCACCGCCCCGAGGTGAGCCCAACCTCTGCGTGCCGTCCTCAGCTGCGGTCCAGGGCAGCCACTGGTGTCCCCCTTGGCCCTGGCTCCTCCGCTAGCCCCCAGCCATGCCCACCTCCCCTCACTCGCTCTCCTGCCCATCTCAGAGCCTGAGCACTGCCCGTCGCCCTGCTGCACTGCAGGAAAGGGCCCTGCCTCAGCCTCCCCAATTGCCCCTGCCATCACCACAACTCAGGCCCTGCCTATCAACCACCCCTGAGCTGCCTACCCCGTGGCCGTGCCTCCTGCCCTGCTGTCCCCAGGGGTCACTGGCAGACGGCCCACGGGCAACGTTATGGGAATGGGGTCCTGGGAAACCTCAGTGTGGGAGGGCCAGGGAGAGGCTGGCTCTGCCAGGTGCGAGGGCAGAGACTGCCCCATCCAGAAAGAAAAAGGAGAAGGAGAAGTTATGCAAGGGCCCAGGCAGCACTGTCCTGTGCTATGAGCCCCACAGTGCCGGCTGGCCTCACCCCGGCATCTCCTGGGCAGAGACCAAACGTGCCAGGCCCGGCAGGGCTGAGCTTCTGCAGCTCCCAGCCACGGCAAGAGGCCGGTCCTCACAGGATGCCTCCCTTCACCCCCGCGGGATGGCTCAGAAGCAGGGCTCTGCCCGGGTGTGCTGACAGCGGGCCCTGGTGTTTCAGGTTCTGTGCTTCGTGGTTGCACGGGAGTTTGAAGCGGGAATTTGGGGGAATCCTCAGGTAAACGGTTGCCTGTGAATATGGTCTGGACTTCACAGCCCCACAGGCCTTCTGGCCCCACCTGCCTATCGCGCCCCTGGGCTCTGCATCTGAGCTTCTCCCAGGACCCCAGGAACTCGTGGGCTGCTGGAACAAAGCAGCTCAGGGCATCCCCTGGGGTGGGAATGGCTAAACCCGCAGGGGACCGATGCCCCTGGCAGCACTGGGGGGCCTCGGCAGGCGGGGTCCTGGCGTGACCTCTGTGGGGCGAGGCGGCAGGAGCCGGTGTCTGCCGGACCCCGCGCTCCGGGCTCACAGTGCCGAGGCCACCGGGGCTGCGTGCGCGGGCGGCCAGGCACAACAGTGAGTGGGTGGGCGGGCGAGGGGCTGCGGTGCAGCGGCCGCCTCGCTCCAGCCCTGGCTCATGGGGCCGCGCTGCTCGGGGGATGGAGATGTGGAGCTATTTATTTCTCCCCTTCTGTCTCTGGGGGCTCGCCGGCCCACTGGGTGATAAAAAGTTCATGATCCGGCCCCACATTCAAAAAGGTTGGACAGCCCTGATCTAGGAGGACTGAAGGCACCGCACCAAGTATTGGTGGGGCATCATCGGGGACCGGGGCACAGCTCCGGGCACCCGTGTCCTAGGTAAATGAACTCAAATGGGAAGACATGCAGAGAAGGGCTTGCAGGACAAGGAAGCATGAAGAGACGTCTGACGAGAGGAGAGCAGCAGAGCTGGGCTCGCCTGGCCTGGCAGCGTGGGGGCCGAGCGCTGCCTACAGGTACAACAGTGGTGAACGCTGGGGCGGGGAAGGGGCTGGTGCAGCTAAACAACAATGTGGGCAAGAGCCAAAGGGCGTGGACTAGCCCTGAATGAATTTGGGCTGAAAATCAGAGGAGGCTCCTGCCCTCAGAGCACCAGGGAGGTGCTGGAGTAGCCCCTCAGTAGGACGGTGCCCTGCTGCTCGCAGCTCCCCAGACGGTGCCTAATGGGAGATTCTGGGGGCTACGCAGCAGGCTCCTGCCCCATCACCGCCTCCCTTGGACCTGAAGTTCCTCCAAGAAGAGGAGTGCAGAGCGTGCTGGTCTCTCCTGTCCCCATGCTCCCCCCTCCACCACCACCACAGAGGGCAGGAGACTCCCTAAGCCCTCCCAGAGAGCGGTCCCCAAGGGGGACCTGCTGGGCAAAGACCTTCCACGTGTGGGCGTGCGCCCACCTGCCCCCCGCACGCAGGAGAGGCCCAAGAGTGGGCAGAAAGGACCCCGGTGCCGAGGCCCTGCCTCTGGGAGCCAAGGCCTCACCTGCTCCACCAGGCTCTCCTGTGGCAGCAGCAGAGCCGGCCCGGGCTCCGAGCTGCCCTCTGCAAGCCGAGCCCCGTTCCTTGCCAGGACCCAGCTGGACGCTCCAGACCCCCCAGCCGGCACCGGCCGAGCCGTACCTGCCCTCTGTTCCCCCAGCTCACTGCCCCCCATGTCGCACAACAGGCTGACTGCCCTCTGCCCCCGACTTGTAGCCCCACTGTCTCCCTGTGCTCTGCGCCCCTGCAGCTTCTCCGCCATCCCCAAGCCACACACCCCTCTGCCCCTGCCCTTCCCACTGCACCAGCAGGGCCGGGGTGACCATGCAACGCCCGCCCGCGGGACAGGAGTTATTCACAACAAAGGAAAGAGACTGGTCAGGACACAAGTGAAGGCTGGAGAGTTAGTAGTCAATCAAGGCAAGTCTTTTGGGGTGTTAAGTCTGGAAAAAGGTCTGGCCTGGGCCCCGATCCACCTGCTTAAAGCCCCTAGTCCTCCCCCAACACGGGGTGCAGAGGCAGCTTTGAGCACAGGGATGAGGAGGAAGATGCGCTGTATTTCCTACCACATAAAAACGCTGGCTGGGAAGGAAGGGCAGGAGCCAAGGCCTGACTGCGAAACCCCTGTCCTCAGCCCAGCGCCTCCCACTGCAGCCTCCCTCCGGCCCCAGAGAACACTGCAGACTCGCCCTGTCACTGGGGCCCCCTCTCCACGGGGATACGAGAGACAGGTGCTGCCTGGCTGGGACCCTGGGCAGCGCCTGATTCCCACGAAGGCTCCGGCCAAGGCGCTGGGCTCTCCCTGAGCACCTGAGCGTCCAGGGGAGAACCAGCAAGGCTCAGGGCACGTGGCTCATGGCAGCCCCTGCTCTAGCAGACCCCAGGGCACTGGCCCTTGGCTACTTAGCGGCTCCATCCACAGAGCTGCCAAGACCTGAGGAGCAGGAGTCACCTGCAGGGACAGGACCCCCGGTTGTTCCCGAGAGGGGATGTCCCATTAGCTATGAGACAGCCATGACCTCAGGAGTATGAGATACAGGGTGGTGGCACTTGCCGGCTGCTGGGAGGCCTGAGCAGCGCTGTGCAACGGGGCAGAGAGCTCTGCACAATGCCCAGGCGGGGAGACGCTGCAGGATGGGAGAGGAAAGCAGACTCCCACCTGGGCACTGACCCTGTGCTCCTTCACACTGGCCACATGCTAGGTTAGAGGGGTGTCTGCAACATGGCACTATGGACCCCTTGTACGGCCCATGGGGAACTGGGTTAATGAAGGAAGAGACTGGTCCCTTTATCCAGGACACAGCACTACACTCATCATGATGCCGCGGTGAGCCGGATGGCTGCCAATGGGACCTGTGCCTGCACCAAGATCCAGCACTTCCCTCCGTCTCCCCAAGCCCCGAGACAGGACAAGGGACAGCGCAAGGGGGCTCTAACCCCCCGCTGGGGAACCAGGCCCACATCTCCTGGGAAGTTTCTTGCCGAGAGGCCTGTACTTCTGAGGCCTGGAGACGAGCCAGAGGAGCCACATCGGGCTCCAGCTGTATTTTGAGGGAGAGGTTGGGGCCAGCCTGGAGCTTGGCAGTTTTGTGAGAAGGGAATACAGCGCAGCCCTAGCCCAGGGTAGACCAGACAGAAGCCAGCACTGACGAGGCGGTAGCAGTGCTTACCACGCCAGCACCGTTGTAACATGTGCTCTTATGGCAGTAGCCAGCTAGAAACCCACCACCAGCACCAGAGCACAGAAGGGTCCGATCGCTCAGAGGCAGCATGCGAGTCTGGGGGAGGCCCCATGGACTCTCCTGAGGCAGGGAGGGGTGACAGGATAGCAGAGAGTTAGAGGCAGTAGTGGGATCCGTGGCACCGGCACAAGCAGCAGAAAGAACCAGATGCAAAGCGAGTCAGAGATCAGGAGAAAGCACAGCCCAAGTGCCCCCCAGCCCCACAGGCTGTGGTACCTTCTACCCCAGGGCCCGGCTCCCCGGGGGGAACAGCTGCCCCCGTACAGGGAGCTGGGAGGCTTATAGGGCAAAGCCGAGCCCCGCTGTGTGCTGCACTCCCTGGGGGATGTCAGATCTGCTCAGTACAGCACCACGGTGCTCTGACCCCTCCAGCACCACCGGGGCTGGCAGCAGGGGCGCACCAGACACCTCCGCTGGGGAGGGGAGGGGAGGCGAGGCGAGGCGAGGCGTCACCCCACCAAGTGCCAGGACAGGTGGCAATGGGCTGGGGCAACGCGAGCAGGAGTCACCGCCCTCCCGCAGACCTGGGTGCTGGGAGAAGGGCCCTCTCACTCACTCAGTCAGCAGCAGGGAGATGTCCCCACGGGTGGGTGGGCAGGCAGGGAGCAGAGACAGCAGCTGACAGACCCCAGTGTCCGCAGTGCTGCCCCATGTTCCCATGGCTGCTCCAAGGTGTCATGCACTCACCGAGATGACACGGTCTCCCACGCGTAGGGTCCCGTCCCGGTGGGCTGCGCCACCCTCTGCGATCCGCGAGATGAAGATCCCCTGAAATGCCGCAGGAGTCAGTGTAGGCCCCGATCCCACACGGCAGCTCCTGCTCCCCAATCACCTCCTGCTGCTGCCTGGCTTGCTGACAGAGCCCTTGCCCTTCCTGACCGCACGCCTCCCCGTCCCACACTCACTCCCGGTCCAGCCTGCAGCTCCTGCGTCCCCAGCCCCGTGCAGAGCCTCCAGCTGCAGAAAAGCCCTGACGCAGCCACAAGCCCAGGACACGCAGCGCCCAGCCGGCAGGGAGCCGGGATTATATGTCGCTGGCAGCCGGTGAGCCCCACCCCCACAAAAGCGGCTGGGCCAGGCGTGGGCCAAGCCTCCCACACATGGAGACACTGGGGCCAAGCCCTGCCCCTAGGCACGAAGCCCCAGGCCCAGCCAACTCACCGTGTCCCCGACCCGGTAGGGCGTGGAGCCCTTGCCACCAGCGATGCTGAAGCCCAGCCCTTTCTCGTTGCGCACGAGGCAGGTGGAGCAGCGCTCTGCAGACGGCGTGCCTTCAGGCCGGTCCGGGAAGCGCAGGCCGCCCCGCCGCTCCCGCGGGCTGTAGTCATCCTCGGGGCGCAGCGGTGTCACCGTGATGGCATTCTCAGGCTCCACCATCCGCTCCCGCAGCACTGTCATAGAGCCCGAGCTGCCCGAGCCGCGCAGCGCCTCCACCGCCACGTGGTGCTCAGCACAGTGCAGGGCCACGCCGTTCACCTGGGGGGAGCAAGGGTCAGTGTGGGACGACGATGACCCTACACGCACACAGCCCCACAGAGCCCCTCACCCTGCCAGCAGCCCAGCCCCAAGGAGACTCCCCCTGCTAGGCCACAGCAACCTCCCAGCCCCATCACGCAGGGATGCCCAGCTCCGCAGCGAACGCTCCCTCCACAAGAACCGTCTGGCCCTGCGTGCAGTCCCCGGCAGGCCGCACTGCCTATTTCCCTTGGGAAAGCCAGATGCCCAGCACAGCCCCAGGGAGCGTCGCCTGCTTCCCCCCGCCCCACCAAAGCTCCTGCCCTCGCGCAGGCTGCCTTGGGAGCCAGGGCCCCTGCTCTCCACTGTGAGGACTGGCAGCCGCCTGTCTCTGGTTCAGAGGTGGATGCTGCTGGGTTGAGGGGCCTGGGGCTGGTGTGGGGGGAGGAGGGAGGGCAGCCTCAGATCAAGGGACCTGCAGGAGCTGCCTGCTACTGCCTTTTACACCAAACTATTCTCTAGCCCAGGGATGGGTGTGCTGCACTAGGGCCCAGAAGTTCAGGCCACCATCCTCTTCCAGTGGGCTGTAAACGCTTTCCTCCCCACAGCAGCCTTTATTACAGAGCACGGCCTCCCCTGGCGGGGGTGGACAGGCAGGCAGTGCTCTCCAGCAGCACCCACAGGCAGGAGGTGGCTAACAGCAGAGCCGGGCACAGAACTGAGGCCGCTGCCATGGCAAAGCCGCAACGTCCCCCACCAGCTGCGATGCTGGCCAAAGGCATGTGCCCGGGCTTGGCGGTGCAGCCAGGCTCCTTGAGCACGTGACCTCCGCAGTGCTCTTGGAGACGCACGACAGAGGGAGCGCTGCACGAAAGCAAAGCAGCATCAGTGCAGATAGTCTGGGGAGCCCTCAGCCTTTGCGCCGTGCAGTGCAGAGCAAAGCCCGGGAGTCCCATCTGGCAGATGCATCAGCAAAGCATGGGCTGGACTCAACACGGACGACTGGAACGTGCCGGCCGGCCGGGGAGATGCAGGAGATCAGATGAGATCTGAAGGCCCCTCTGGCCCAAACTCTACAAAACTGAGCTGAGCTGCGTGGCAGACATGGCACAGACAACTGGCCCGAGGCCAGACCCCCGGCTCCTTCCTTGCTGTGGTCCCATCCAGGCGCCCTGTGCTGGACCAGCCCTTTCATGGCAGCTGAGCACGTACCTCCAGGAGCTTGTCCCCAATGCGCACTCCAGCCCGGGCTGCAGGGCCCTCCTCTGACACGCGGGAGATGAAGATGCCCTGGAAGCAAGGCAGCATGTCAGCAAGTAGAGAGCTGGACCCCTGATCCCCCGCCTCCCCATCACCCCCTGGGCTGAGGTTGCAGGTCGGGGCGGGGGGGGAAGTCCCACAGCACCGACCTGCTGGGGCTGTCCTTGGGGGGAGCCCAGAACAGTCCACCCTGGGGATGCCCAGCTCCCCCAGGGAAGACGTGATCGGGAGGGCAACGGTGCTGTTCTCATCCCTGCTTTGGGCCCAAGCTTGACATCAGAACCCACTGTCCGGAGGCAACATCTTGCCCTTGGGCCAGCCCTGCCTGCCCCCACCTGAGGGTCCAGGGTTTGACCTGCTCTCCCTGCACCCGGCTCAGCCACAGAACAGGCCAAGCACCCTCGGGGACCAGTCGCTGCCACGACAGGGCTTCTCCCGACACGGGCAGGCCCATGCCAGCCCTTACCTCGTCGTCGCCCTTGTAGGGGGTGGAGCCCTTGCCCCCCGCGATGCTGATGCCCAGCCCCCCCGTCTGCCGCACGATGGTCAGTGTTAGCTGGAAGCAGAACGGGAGCAGGTTACAGACAAACACGGATGACGGTCCTGGCACAGAAACAGCCGGGGGCGCAGGGACGGAGAGCACATACGTAAGGGCACACCAGAGTGCTCCCTGCCATTGAGTGCACATGCATCTGCTCGCGCGCTAGTGTAAAGGAAGGGGCGGAAGGGGCCTCATCGTAGCTCCTACCCCCACCTTTAGCTCCAGCAGCAACAGGGAAGGCAGACAGGCTGCCATCACCAAAGCGAGTGGGGAGGCGCAAAGGGAAGGACTGGGCCAAAGAGGGCAGGGCAGGGGCACAGGAGTGGCCCGGGTGGTGCCCAGGCTGTCCCCAGTGCCATGGCTCTGCTTGGGTCCAGGTCTGCACCTGCACTGCGAGATGCCACCCAGCCCAGCGGGCAATGCCACGCACCATCATGCCCCAGGGCAGGGGCCCGGCCTGCACCCGGCTCCTTGCCCACCCCTCTGCTGTGCCCCGAGGCTGCTGCGGGGACCAGGCGGCTGCCTCCTCTTCCCTCTTCTTGGACACAGCCTCTTTCCTCACGCTCTGCCAACATCCTGCTCCCGTGCCTGCGTCTGGGCCCGAGTGGGAATTGCCCCGACCCAACACCAGTGGAAGAGTCTGCTGTGGCGTGCACAGCTCGCGCACTCCCACCTTGGGGGCCGGAGGGGATGATTCTCTTGGGGGTGCCTCAGGACCCGAGAGCTGGGCAAGGCGAGTGATGGAGGAGCATGGGCCCCTGCAGGGATAAGGGGCTGCCAGGGACCAAGTGGG